GGGGGGGGGGGCTCAGTGCCGTGCACAGCCCCGTCCTCCCAGCACCCCCTCCCTGCCACTGGTCAGCCACTGCCTCCCCGTCCCCATCTCCCGCAGCCTTCTGCATCACCTGCGGAGTCCTGCTCCGCCCCACCGCCCCGCCCCTCCGGGCTCATGCCCAGCCTCACCGCACATCTGGCCTCGGTAGGCGGGGTCCAGCCTGAGGAACACCTGCATGAGGGGCACCAGCTGCACCTCCAGCTGCAGCCCGAGGCCCGTCTGCACCAGGATGAAGAAGGTCGAGGGCCTGAACACCGTGATGTTGGCTGTGGGAGGGGGGAGGTCAGAGGCTGCCCAGGAGCCACTCCCGGCCACCAGTGCCTGAGCCTCGTGCTCCTGGGATGGCCCAGGAGGCAGAGATGGGCTCAGACAGACGTCTGGTGGACTCCGGACACCCCACTGTAACCCAGGAGCTGGGCAGGAGCTCACATGCCTGCACGGGTTGTGACCCCAAGAGGCCGGGGCCCCCGCAGCAGCCACAGGTGGGGCCATGGACACCCCACTCTGTCCATGACCGCCAACCCTGGGGTGTTCTGGAACTGCCCGGGGCCATGGAGAGCCGGCGAGGGCCCAGCAGGCTTGGTGCAGGCTCTCCGGACATGGCCCCACTCCCCCGGGGCCGCGTACCTGCTGACACGGGCAACTGGGTAAAGATGGAGTTCATGAACACCCCGCCGTTGGCCTGGATCCGGATGACCTAGGAGGGAGGTGGGGCCGTGGTCAGGGTGGGAAGGAGCCCCTGGGAGCCGGGTGGTTCTGGGACAGCCCTGGAGGGAGGCCGCCCCTGGGACGGCAGGTTCGGGGAGGGAGCTGGCGCCTGCTTCCTCCCCACCTCGTCCTCAGGACCCTCACCGTGGCCCCGCCGCTCATGCTCAGTGTCACTGTTTTGAGGCAGTTCTCATTGTCCGTCAGGCCGCACTTCCGCAGCTCGGCCAGCACGGTGAAGCCGTTGTCTTCACATTTCTAAGGGCAAAGCAGGGAGGAGGCTGAGTGTGTGTGTGTGTGTGTGTGTGTGCATGTCTGTGTGTGTATCTGCATGTGCATGCATGAGTATGTATGCACATGTACAAACACGTATGTGTGTGCATATGCATGCATGTGCTGTGTGTGCGTGCGTGCATGCCTTGCATGTATCTGCATGTGCACATGTGTGTGTGTGTGTGCGCGCGCGTGTGTGCATGTGCCTGTGTGCGTGTGTGGTGCCCCTGTGGCTGGGGTGCCATTCAGGCTGGAGGTGGACAGTGGCTCTCAGTGGCCTCTAGTCACCTCTCGGTACCTTGTCTCAGGGTCGGGAGCCCTTCGGCCCCCTGCGAGTGTGAGTCTGTGGACTTCCTCTTGGGATGGGACCCAGGAGGGGGCCGTGGGGGCTTCACCCACTCTGATGACCGCCACAGACCCTTCCCGGGGGCAGAGGAGGGGTGGGGGCCCTGGGACCCGTCTGCACCTTAGACAGGACGTAGCTGCAGTCCCCGTGCATGTCGTAGAGCCTCTCATCGTAGGTGGAGATGTGGGACCCGCCCTGGACGGAGCAGGTCCCCGGGCACGGGTGGTCCTGGCACTGCCACAGTCCCCCGGAACAGGTGCTAGGAGGCCATGAGCAGAGCAGCTAAGTGAAGGGGGGGTGGACCCACCCCACGCCCTCCACCCCAGGCGGACAGGGTGGGGGGCACCTACCAAGAGCTGCAGCTGGTGGAGAAGGAGGCCCCCGGGGCGTAGACGCGGCCACTGTGGGTGCAGGGGCAGTGCTCCAGCGGCAGGCAGCCCGAGTTGGTGACGTCGTCCAGCACCGTGCCTGCGAGGGGCGGGGCAGCCGGTCAGCGGGCCGCGGCCGGGCGCTGGGGGCATGGTGACCAGAGGCAGCCACGGGGGTGGGCGAGGAGTCGGGG